GGCCCCACTGCTGGACCTCCTGATGGCACCTGGTATTTTTGGCCACTGTGTGACAGAGTGTTGGACTAGATGGGCCTTTGGCCTGATCCAACACTGGCTTCTTCTTATGTTCTTATGTTCTGTATAGTTCATATAGTTTATTCCTGATAGTTTTCAGTGGGACTTAGCTTCAGGGTGGGAGTGTGCCGGTTGCTTTCTGGGGATCTACAGTGGATAGCTAACCTGTGGGACTCACTGCCACAAGATATAGACGAATCTGAAGGGCTGTCATGTAGAAGATGGAGTGTAATTGTTGTCTGTTGCCCCAGAAGGTGAGGCGCGAACCAACGGGTTGAAATTAAATCAGAAGAGTTTTCAGCTAAACATGAGGAAGAACTTTCTGACAGAGCGATTCCCAGTGCGAGAGGCTTCCTGGGGAGGTGGTGGGCTCTCCTCTTTCGGTGGTTCATAAGCGGAGGCTAGACGGCCATCTGACAGCAATGCTGATTCTGTGTAAAGGCAAAGGTAAACTTTTCCCTTGCTCAAAAGCCAGTCGAATCCGACTCTAGTGGGCCGCGCTCATCTCCGTTTCTAAGCCGAAGAGCCAGCGCTGTCCGAAGACTTCTCTGTGGTCATGTGGCCGGCATGACTAGACGCCGAGGCGCACAGAACGCTGTTCCCTTCCCACCTAAGCGGTACCTGTTTATCTGCTTTCAATTTCTTGCTTTCGAACTGCTAGGCAGGAGCTGATTCTGTGACTCACTATGAATTTAGGCAGATTGTGTGTGAGAGAGAGTGTTGGGTGTTACAAGTCAAAACACTTCGGTATTTACAGGGTTAATGATGTTTGTTATGATCAACAGGAAGTCACATGTTTGTTTGTAACCAATCTGTTTAGACAATAGAATGCCCGGGAACTTTGGAGCTAACTTGCTAGTCTGATTGGAAACCAAGGTGTCAAGTATTTAGCATATTGGCTTCTCCTCCCGTTCTTTGTTCTGACTGAGAAGGAGACGCCATTCGGCTCTTCCCGTTTTACCTTTTAGCTGTAAGGATGTAGGCATATTCGCTCGTCGTTATTTTCATCTCCTGTGTACCTTTTTCCCATGTTAGGTTTATAGTAAACCTTTTATATTTTAAAACACACCATGGACTCAGTCACTTAATACTCTGCTGACTTACTTAAAAAGAATCCCAACAGAGAGAGAGGGCAGGAAGCAGGCCTGTAGCTACAGTGGGGCCTCTTGGGGCCAGGCCCCCCGACTTACTTCCAACGGCCCCTGACTCCCTATCCAGCCCAGGCCCCCTCAACTTTCAATTTTTTTATTTTATTTATGGCGCTTATTTGGGTGTATGCGGGTGTGCTCCCGAACTTATTTAAAGCCCCCCCCCCCCCGAATTAAAAAACCCTGGCTGCGGGGCTGGCAGGAAGGGATAGGCCAGTGCTCGGCTCTGGGGGCCCTTTCTCATATGCCCAGGGTAATGCCAATCGCCACGTCAGGGTCAGGAAGGAATTTCCCTCCAGACCAAATTAGCCCAGGGATCCTGGAGGTGTTTTGCCTCCCTCTGGGCATACAGCAGGGGTCACTGGGGGAGTGGGGGGGGGCAAGTAGCAGTGAATTTCCTGTACTGTGCCGGGGGGTTGGACTAGATGACCCTTGGGGTACCTTGCAGCTCTGTGTCTCTCTGTTTCTAAGAGTGACAGAGGAGAGGTCTCTCATTGGCTGTTAGCCAGGACAGACCACAAAAAGAAGAAACTGTGAGGTAACTGCGCTAGAAAATATTTCAATAAAGAATCACAAAATATATACATAAATGTGTACAAAAATCATATAAATGCACAAGGCAGTTGAAAATGGTGTGACAATGGTCTCCGGAATGTTCTATCGTTTCGATACTATTCTTCACCTATTTCAACAAGTAGGTATCAAAATTTTCATTATTATTCACCGATGTCTCATAACTTAGTTGTAAGAAATTCTCTGAAAGAATGTTCCTAGGGCAAAGTGCTTGTATAATGCCTTATAATGAAATTTTTAATACCTACTTGTTGAAATGACAGACCAAGAGTCGCTGCTTTCATCCACTTTCGGAAGAAGAATAGTATCGAAACGATAGAACATTCCGGAGACCATCGTCACACCATTTTCAACTGCCTTGTGCATTTATATGATTTTTGTACACATTTTTGTATATATTTTGTGATTGTTTATTGAAATATTTTCTAGCGCAGTTACCTCACAGTTTCTTCTTTTTGCGGTCTGTTCTGTGACTGTGACCATCATTTTTGAGCCCCTGTTAGCCAGGACAGCCAAACAGGGTCGCTCTGGATCCAGAGGCAGATTGCTGGTTGCTGGAGGCTGGGGGATCCGTGCTGTATTTGTGAGTTTCCTCTGCAACAACTGACTGGCCCTAGTTGGAACCCTGATGCTGGACTTGATGGACCATCAGTGGGTCAAACTGAGAGCCAGGTTGGAGTAGTGGTTAGGAGTGCGGACTCTAATCTGGGAGACCCGGGTTTGATTCCCCACGCCTCCACATGCAGCTGCTGGTGTGACCTTGGGTCAGTCACAAGTTCTCTCGGAGCTGCTCTCTCTCAGCCCCACCTACCTCACAAGCAGTGTTCCCTCTAAGCTGGAGTTAGTGTGAGCTAGCTCACAGTTTTTTAGCCTCCTGCTCACACATTTTTTGTCTTAGCTCAGGGAGGATGGCTCCAGAGCAAACTGATTTATGCAGAAGCCAAATTGCTCGCTCACAAGTTTAATGCTGGTGGCTCACAAAGTAGAATTTTTGCTCACAGGACTCCACAGCTTAGAGGGAGCATTGCTCACAAGGTGTTTGTTGTGGGGAGGGGAAGGGAAAGGAGATTGTAAGCCGCTCTGAGACTCCTTCGGGTAGTGAAGGGCGGGGTATAAATCCAATCTGTCCTCCTCCTCCTCCTTTAAACCAAGTTTTAGGTTCTCCCTGTTGGATTAGTCTAAGCCCCTCTTCCTCTCAGGATCTTATAGTAATTTATCTGGTTCTACCTCTTCACAACAACCCTGTCAGGTAGAGCAGGCTGAGAGAGAGCAAGTGGCCTGACATCACCAGTGAGCTGCACTGCCAAGTGGGGATTTGAATCCTGGTCTCCTGAGTCTATGCCCAATCTCTAACCACTTCACCCTACTACCAGTGTTCCCTCTAAGCTGAGTTAGTGTGAGCTAGCTCACAGTTTTTTAGTCTCCGGCTCACACATTTTTGTCTGAGCTCAGGAAGGATGGCTCCAGAGCAAACCAATTTATGTAGAAGCCAAATGGCTCGCTCACAAATGTAATGTCAGTAGCTTACAAAGTGGAATTTTTGCTCACAAGACTCCACAGCTTAGAGGGAACATTGCCTACTACTTGGTGTTTTTTGGTATTTCTTTTCATATGTGCGTGCGTATGTGTGCAAGTGTGTGTGCACCTGGAAGTCATGGTGACCTCTGGTGACTGAACCCTACTGGGGGCCTGGAGGATATTCAGAGAGGTGGCTGAATAAAGCCTGCCCCCGCCTCCCTAATGCTGGTATTCCAAGGAGGTCTCCCATCCAAGTACTTGGCAGGGTCATCCCTGCTTAGCTTCCGAGATCTGACGAGATCAGGCTGGCCTGGCCTATCCAGGTCAGGGCTCGGTTAGCTCAGTTTTGATTGGCTGGTTTATTCATTTTCAAACCACGGATTGATGTCCACTAAGGGTGGGAGGGACAATTGGGAAGGTGGACTGCGAAGGATCATCAGATGTTATTTGGGGAAAAGAAAGAAAGAAAGAAAGAAAGAAAGAAAGAAAGAAAGAAAGAAAGAAAGAAAGAAAGAAAGAAAGAAAGAAAGAAAGAAAGAAAGAAAGAGGTGGCCAACCACCTCTGCTTCTCACTGGCCTTGCTTGGAAGCCCCTTGCTGGGGGAAGCTAAGCAGGGTTGGTACTCGGAAGGGAGACCACCAAGGAAGGCTCTGCAGAGGAAGGCCATGGCCAACCACCTCTGTTTCTCACTTGCCTTGAGATCCCCTTGCAGGGGGAAGCTAAGCAGGGTTGGTACTTGCAAGGGAGACCACCAAGGAAGGCTCTGCAGAGGAAGGCCATGGCCAACCACCTCTGTTTCTCACTTGCCTTGAGATCCCCTTGCAGGGGGAAGCTAAGCAGGGTTGGTACTCGGAAGGGAGACCACCAAGGAAGGCTCTGCAGAGGAAGGCCATGGCCAACCACCTCTGCTTCTCACTGGCCTTGGAAGCCCCTTGCTGGGGGAAGCTAAGCAGGGTTGGTACTCGGAAGGGAGACCACCAAGGAAGGCTCTGCAGAGGAAGGCCATGGCCAACCACCTCTGCTTCTCACTGACCTTGGAAGCCCCTTGCTGGGGGAAGCTAAGCAGGGTTGGTACTTGCAAGGGAGACCACCAAGGAAGGCTCTGCAGAGGAAGGCCATGGCCAACCACCTCTGTTTCTCACTTGCCTTGAGATCCCCTTGCAGGGGGAAGCTAAGCAGGGTCAGTCCTTGGATGGGGGACCACCAAGGAAGGCTCTGCAGAGGAAGGCCGTGGCTAACCACCTCTGCTTCTCACTGGTCTTGGAAGCCCCTTGCTGGGGGAAGCTAAGCAGGGTTGGTACTTGGAAGGGAGACCACCAAGGAAGGCTCTGCAGAGGAAGGCCATGGCCAACCACCTCTGCTTCTCACTGGCCTAGAAAGCCCTTTGATAGGGGAAGCTAAGCAGGGTTGGTACTTGGAAGGGAGACCACCAAGGAAGGCTCTGCAGAGGAAGGCCATGGCCAACCATCTCTGCTTCTCCCTCGCCTTGAAAGCCCCTTGTTGGGGTCAAGATGGATTGGGTGCAGTTTGATGGCACTTTACCAACAGGCATGCTGCTTGGTGATTTATTTCCCTACCAGATTCCTAACAGTTCCTCTGTCATTCAGTCTCCATTTCACTCTAGTCCAAGATGAAGTGTGTGTTTCAATACTCTCATGGCAACGTCTGACCCCACCTTTCCCCTCCCTCCTTCAGGTAAATGTTGAGGATACCGTCGAAATGTTACCCAAGTCCCGGCGAGCGCTCACCATCCAGGAAATCGCGGCCCTCGCACGGTCCTCTTTGCATGGTAAGTGACAGTGAATCCGGCGGAATTCCTGTGGAAGCGGTGCGTCGGCAAAGCCTTTTGAAAAACAGCCGTGGAGCCCCTTTGGGATATCTTAACAGGCGCTGCAGTTTCACGGCACCACAGAGGGCCGGATTACATCCCCCATTGCTTGTAAATTCCCGGCTGCAGTACCCCATCTGACCACCTGCAGTGATGGCGCTGTAGAACCACAGAGACCAGACTAGCAGTTCCTCTGTTCTTCTTAAAGTGTTCAACATGGTGCAGAGGAGAGCTCTGCTAAATCTCTGTGGGCTTTCGGCCATCTCCAACAGATTGCACCCCTGAGTCACTGCTTGTAAATTCCCGGCTGCAGTACCCCATCTGACCACCTGCAGTGATGGCGGTGTAGAGTTACAGAGATGGGACTAGCAGTTCCTCTGTTCACCATGTGTTCAACGTGGCACAAGGGAGAGCTGTGCTGAATCTCTATGGGCTTTTGGCCATCTCCAGCAGATTGCACCCCTGAGTCACTGCTTGTAAATTCCCGGCTGCAGTACCCCATCTGACCACTGGCAGGGATGGCGCTGTAGAGCCACAGAGACCAGACTAGCAATTCTTCTGTTCTCAAAGTGTTCAGTGTGGTGCAGGGGAGAGCTCTGCTGAATTTCTGTGGGCTTTCGGGCATCTCCAGCAAACTGCACCCCTAAATCACTGAACCTCAAAACTGATCAAAGAACAGCTTCCGGAAGCCTTTAAAAGATGCAAGAGGAGAGGGGAAGCGATCGATGATCCGGTATTTAAGCATAGTGGCTCCTCAATGTGGAACAGGACACAAACCCAGAGTAAATGTTAGCAGTCAATACAATCGATCCCTTGCTAGATGTACACATCTACCTCTGTGCCCAGCTCTGCACGCACAATAAGGGATGCCTGTCGCCCTTCCCTCCTCAGTGGCCAGCGCTCAGCGGGTGTGCTGCTGTTGTCAGGTGGCGCAGTGTACTGCAGTGTTCCCAGTAGGGTTGCCAACTCCGGGTTGTGAAATTCCTGGAGATTCAGAGGGAGTGCCTGGGAAGGGGGGAGTTCGAGGAGGGAGTGCAAAAGGGAGGTGACGCTGTAGAGTCTGCCCTCTAGAGCTACTGTTTCCTCCCGGTAAACTGATCCCTGTGGTCTGGAAATCAGTTACCCTCCTGGGGGCTCTCCAGGCCCCACCTGGAGGCTGGCAACTGTAGCTCCCAGCCAAGGTTGCTGAGGAACATGACTTTCAGAACAGACTCAGATTAAGGGACCCCCTGCGCCAGGGTTGAGAAAGGAGAGGGCTTTTGCCTGCTTTTATGGAAAGCGCAAAAGGGCCCTTCGCTATTGGCTCCATGAACCCTGCTAGGTGGAACGCTGCAGTACCCCCACCGACCATCTTTAGTGGTGGCGCTGTAGAGCCACAGACATCAAGGCCAGGCATTCCTTGTGAGCTGAATATCCCGCAAAAAATATACCGAAGGAGACTTCAACAAAGTGAAATGCGTATATAGTCATACAATCCCTCATAGGAAAATACAGAAGCCAAGAAGATCCATAATAGGAGAATACAGAGTCCAAAGTAAATATCCAACCCTTTTCCTAGGTAGTTTTCAGTGTTTCAGACTTCCGGTCCTTCCTCAGGAACAAAGAACATTGGGAGTCTCATTCCATTTCCTTACAGGATAATACTATTCTGTTTCTTACAACATTGGGCAAGGTCTCCTAAGCTCTAGTCAGCACCTGTAAAGGCTGCTTCTAGGTAACAGGACCAAAACATGCCTCAAAGTATCCAGCATACTGGGTTTACTTTATGGATCTGCATTGAATGTTGTTGTAGGCAGGGGTCATTTCCTGCAGGAGTGCACAGGAGCGGAGCTCCGGCAGTAAAGAGCCCAGGGGGCGGGCACATGCAACAAGCACCACCCCCTGCTCCCAGCAGCCCTCAGTCAGAGCAGGAAGCAGCCAGGTAAGTTGCAGAGCCCCCCCCCGGCCCCCCTGGTCCAAAACAGTTCAGTGGCACCTTTAAGACCAAGTTTTATTCAGGTACAAGCTCCCCCTCCTCTGTGAGGGCAGATCTGCACGTTCCCCCCCCCCAATAGCTAGCAACCCAAAACAGTCCAGTGGAGCCTGAGCGGTGGGTGTTGCCTTCTGAGGCGCTTCCGGTGATGTCAGGGGGAGTGGCATATGCAAACGAGTTATGCTAATGAGTTGTGCTAATGAGCTCCTGCACCTCTTTTTCTACTAAATGACCCCTGGTTGTAGGCATTCCTTGTGCCTGAAAAGTCCTGCAGGGAGTAAAGTAACCCAGAGGTCACCCACGGGTACTCGGGATCCATGGTGCCCCTACAGAATGCCCTGCAGAGCAGCACGCCCACCAGAGGCATGCCGAAGGAGGGTCGTCGGATCGTGCCAGCCCCCAGACTGTGTATACCTTGCTTTTCTTTTCCAAAGAAACGGAATGTTGCGTAAGATCAAAAGGCAGCAGGTTCAGGACAAAAGAAAAGACTTCTTTACACAGAGAGTGACTAAAATGTGGCATTTGCTGCCCGAAGTTGTGGTGACGGCCACAGGAATAAACAGTTTGAAAAGGGGATTAGATAGATTCATGGAGGAGAAGTCTGTCGATGGCTATTAGGCATGGTGGCTGAAGGGGAACCTCCACATTCAGAGGCAGTCAACCCCTGAATCCCAGAGCCAGGAGGCAACATCAGGGGAAGGCCTTGGCTTCTGTGCCCTGCTGTTGGCCCGCCAGAGGAACTGGTTGGCCACTGTGTGAGAGAGGATGCTGGACTAGATGGACTAGTGGTCTGATCCAGCAGAGCCAGTTTGGTGTAGTGGTTAAGTGCGTGGACTCTAATCTGGGAGAACCGGGTTTGATTCCCCATTCCTTCAACATGCAGCTGCTGGATGACCTTGGGCAAGCCATAGCTCTGTCAGAGCTCTTCTTGAAAGAGTTCTCAGAAGAGCTCTCTCAGCCTCACCTACCACACAGGGTGTCTGTTGCGGGGAGGGGAAGGGAAAGGAGTTTGTAAGCCGCTCTGAGACTCCAAGTGAAGGGCGGGGTATAAATCCAATCTCTTCTTCTTCTCTTCTCATGTTCTTATGAAGGCCTTGGGATATCTATGCCCTGTTGCTGGCCCTCTAGAGGAACTGGTTGGCCACTGTGTGAGACAGGATGCTGAGCTAGATGGTTTAATGGTCTGATCCTGCAGGGCTGTTCCGATGTTCTTACGAAGGCCTCGGCCTGTATGCCCCGTTGTTGGCCTTCCAGAGGAATGGGTTGGCCGCTGTGCAAGACAGGATGTGGGACTAGATGGACTATTGGGCTGTGGTCACACACCCTAAATAATCCACTTTCAATGCACTTTCCAACTGGATTTTGCCGCTTCACAAATCCAGTCTGAAAGTGGACTAAAGTGGATTATTTAGGGTGCGTGACCACAGCCTTGGTCTGATCCAGCAGAGCTCTTCTTATGTTCTTAATATTCCATCTTTAAAGAAGAAAAGGTAATTGGATCTTGCTGGGTCAGCAGTCTGGCCTCGCAGTAACCATTAGCCGTACTGCCTAAATGCAAAAAGTTGCTTCCCACCGCAGCGGTCTCAGAAAGCCCTTGCCCTGTGAGGCTAGAAAGGGCCTTGCCCAACGTGGGCTTTGTTCTCCCAGCAGCTCCAGGCCGGGATGGGCTTTTCATTCGGTCCCCCTCCCTCACTCCTCTTGGGGCTATTTCCGAAACAGACGTGGGCAGAAATCTTCTCCGAAGGGATGAGCAGCTTTTGTTCCCTAAAAATAGGAAGAAGTCAACGAGATACGAAATTAAAATCTGAACCCCAGGAAGGAACGGGAACCCACGTGGCTGGCGACAGCTGTGGGGAAATGCAAATCGGGATGGGCGGGTGGGGGGGGGAAGTGGGAGAAGGCTTCATTTCCCTCCACCCCCCCACCTGCACTTGCAAAAAACCAAGGGGGGGGGTCCTGTCTTTGCCTCCCTCCTCGAGGAGGAATGTCAATCAATCATGCATTGATCTGACAACGTGGGTTCTCGCCCAACAGGCGCTGGTAAGCGCAGCATGTTCGTTTTCAAGGAGCCGAGGGAATTTTCGTCGTTCGGGGCGGCAATTGGGCGGGCGAGCAGCTGCCAGTTCCGAAACTCATCAGCTGCAATTCAACTGACGGCCCTTGACCACCGCTGCCTGATTTCCCTGCCTGCCAACTGATTTCCGTTGGCTTCTTAACAGCGTGGCGGGCCCTTGGCGGTTATTTGAGCACAAATTGGTGGGCCGCTTGGCAGGGCTGTTCACATTTTATTAAAATGCTCTTTTATTAAGATTGTTTCATCCGTCTCCCTACCTTCCAAAAGGCCCCTTCGTTTTTTTGGCAATGGTTTGTCTGCCAAAAATAAATAAATCTGTGTGTTGGTTGGGGAATTCCGGTGCATTGCAGAGCATTTGGGGAGCATGTTTTACAGTGGGCTTTTTTCTTGGGTTGCCAACTTTGGGTTTGGAAATATCTGGAGATTTGAGGGTGGAGCCTCAGACAGTGGGATTTAGGGAGGTTAGGGAACTTGGTAAGGAATAATGCCCTGCAGAGGACCTTCTGAAGCAGCCATTTTCTCCAGGAGAAGTGGAATAAATTCTTTACATCAATCAGTTAGTCAGTCAGTCAATCAATAACAAGCCATTTATATAGTCTGGAGATCAATTGTAATTCTGGGAGTTTTTCTGCCTTCACCTGGAGGCTAAACCAACAATCATTTAAGGAAATAGCTGAGTAAATATGAATCATGTATGACTTAACATCACATAAGGCTCCAAATATTTCTTAAACTTTCAATAGTACTCAATACATGAAGTACAAGAAATACAATAGATAGGCTGGAGATTTGAAGCACTATCTAACATTTACATGAAGCACTATCTAACATTTACATGATTTTCAAATGTCCATAAAGCAAAGCAAATACATCCACTTCTTGAAACTTTATAAAGTATGTTGCAATCATCAAGTA